TTTATTTAATTATGCATCATCATTTGGTCCTTTATTAGATTAAATTAATATAAATAAAATTGAATAACACAAAGCATTTATTATTACCAGGACACATAATGATTAGCATTCAATAAGTAATAACAGTTCAGAGTTACAAGAGTATTAAAACTGAAAAAAACAAATGAAAACTCCAGTTTTTAATCAAAAACCAACAGGTCCATTTACAAAAGCATCAAAACAAATAGTGTTTCCATTGTGATACATGTCCAGACTAGAATACCATTATGCAAGGTTACTGCTCCCCTGGGCCAAATAACTTCATGGCTTGCCCACATACATTAATAATCAGAGTTGGCTAGAATAATGTAGCAACTAACAGAGAAAAATTGCCATTATATGAAGTGTGCTGAAGGAATCGTTTGTATGGGAATTCAATAGAGTTACTTTGGTAATATTAATTTTGCTGGAAATTATGTATATTTTATAGGAAGAATAATTGAAATCAGTCTTACTAGTCTTACTTAATTCATTTTTCTTTCATTAAATACAAAACAGCTAAGAAGTATGTAAAAGTAGCAAGTTTACCGGCTGGCAATTGCAAGAATATCTCAATCTAAATTAATGAAATCCTACTCTTTTTTGCTCAATACACGCAAAAAAGAGTAGACATAAAAAGAAATGAAAGAACTGAAGCAAACATGGAATATGTTTACCATGTAATGTCATATGCCACTATAGTCTCAAAACTGCCGTAATAAAAGTGAAAATTATATCAGTCAAGAAAGTAACTAAGTCAAAAAGACAGTGAATTACTTTGTGTAATGAATATATATATATTTAATTTTAAGTTGAATGGAAGGGTGGGTGTTGCTGACTGGGAGTGTGATAATCTGTGCAACTTTGATACTGACAAAGATCAACTATTTATATAGCCCAATAATCAAGGACATTAGGAAAAAAAGCTTCTTACTTTTCCACTACTCATCATATTTTAAAAAAAGATCAGCACAAAAACCAAATTTTGTCATTCTATAGCCAAAACAATTTTCAATTCTCATATTTTAAATATTTAATATATTATATTTTCAAATATTTGTCAATGAATGAAAATTCAATTTTATATATTTTGTAATCTAAATATTCTGTGCCACCACATTATAAAAAGGCAAAACACTACACACAAGTTAACGTAAATAGAGTAGAACCACTATCACATATTCCAATCAAACTTGGGGTCTCACTATTGCATCTTGTTATCACATTACAGTGCGGCCACAACGTGAACGTTAACACCTCTGTACTTGCATTACCAACACGACAAAACAACGTATCCCAACACTTTACACCTTGTATGGCTGCTCTACGGATCATGTGTACCATGGGGATAATCTATCTCTTAATTTAAAAAGCTCATAATAATCTAGTTATCACAGTTTGAAAACAAAAGAAAGTGTTATATTTGTGAAGGAGAAAAATAAGACATATTCTATAGCTTAATTCCAAGGTTAAAACAGTCTCAATAAAATCAGACAACCTCTCTATCTAGCACAATTTCTGCTAGTCTCCCAATAATGGCTTTTTTAAGGCCTCTTTTATACTCTGTGGCGATCCGCACGTTGCTGCGGCCAATGGCAGAAGCCACAAGTTTGTGCAGCGCCAGTTGTAGTGAGGAAGGGGGGGGGGGGGGTGTCAAGGTTACTGACTTAGGGATTTCTTTTCACCTTTAAAGTTATTTGTAGTGAATGTGGTGATGGGATAATATAATTCTAAGAACTCAAATAGGCCTAATACTTCCCTGGCGGAGCATCCCGCTAAAACTCATACCGTGGCTTAATAGACAAAATTAATTAGCTTGTTTATAATGATAGTACCGTACTAAATAATATTATTGTCAATAGTAAAACAACTATTTCAGAGTGTATATCATATTATAAGTGAACATTTAATCATTTATCTCGGTCTAGATCATTATTATGTTTAAAAGAATTTGGCAGGAGTATTTTGGGAGGCGTTTTGTTTTGGCCATGTTGACAACTACTCTGCAGCGACACGCAGAGTATAAAAGCTCTCACAATGCAATTCACCTTGAGGTTGCATGTTTCTGCGGCTCTATGATGCACCGTTGAGCATCTAGCCAACATAGCATAGTATGAAAGCTTCCATTTAACTGTATGCACTTACAAAGCCGCAGGTCGCAGCAGCCCCAGAGTATAAAAGAGGCCTTAATAGATATGTACAAGAATCTAGCATTTTCAATAGTTCAGCACTGCACCGTTAAAGTCCCCAAGCCGGATTAGGAAGTGTGTCAACTGTGTATTTAAGTTCTACATGGAATTTAATTATGCAAAAATTAAAGGTGCAGAATTTGTTTGTAATAGTTTGTTAAACATTGCAGAATAATTTCAGGTCCCAAATGTTTAATCAAATTGAAATAGTTAAAACTTTTAACGTTTTAACACATTAACTACCAACTATACTCATCTCAGAAACAGGGGGGTGTGACGATCGGTAGGGAACGTGTTAAAGGGAGAATGTAGACTAGATATCTAAAATAAATAATCTAAATTGAATTTGAATACAGTACATTTATGAGTCAAATTAAAAGAGGTATATATAGTTCTTTCTTATATGTCACCAGGCAATTGTCTTTTGTCTAACTGAAAGAGGCTAAAATACTGTTACAAAGTTGTTTCACAAAAAACCAGAAACACAAAAAGAGAACTACGTATCAAATTATCTCAGGCTTTCAAAGAGACTAATTCAGTCCTATATGACTAACTACTTGATGGACTATTGTGTAGATCGTGATTAATACTCTTTTACAACTTCATAAAACTAATGGACCCTCACTTTCAATCATAAATATAGTTTAAAGATAATTGATCCATAGAACATTAGTTTGTTATACCTGAAGCTATTAAGCCTCAACCTGATTCAATAACATGCTTAAGGATTTGATAATTCAATTATACCTTTATATTAATAGGCAAGCATGTTTCTTTAAAACCTTTTTTCTCAGCTCGTGTGCATCGTAGGGAAAATCTACGCATATTGTTAGAAAGATATTTTCCTGTGATGAGCAGAATTCCTTTACAAATTAAAATAGGCTCAAAAATAAGCAAAAAAATGAATTTTAAATTTGAAAAAAATAACATGGGCCTTATGGCCATGCTGGTGACGAAATTTATACAGAAAATCTAAACAAATGAAAGAAATTCCAATCACATGTTTTATTTACAGCTTGGGCTGAAAATAGAAGTCTGTACATTACAAATTAATGGTCGAGTTTTCGACCCGACCACTGGACTACTTTTAGTTTAGATTGATACTAAATCTTAGATGAATAATTTGCACAGGTTTAGGATTTAAAAACCGTACCGTATTTCAGCTTATTGTAAGTATAGGTGAGTACGAGAGGTATCATGATAATTATGCTACAAAAGGGTGGAATGATAAAAAAACTATATTCTGAATATAGCTTTTTCTCTTAGTATAACTTAATGAAGAGTTAACTTGGTTGAGATTATATGTTGAGTAGGTCAAATAATTAATCATTATACTTATTATTGAACAATAGTATTTAAAAATGTGAGTATGAGTCATTAATACAATACATCACATACTTGGTTTTAGATTATTTTAGCAGAAGAACCATCAATGGAAGTTTTAAGTAAGGCAACGTGTTTGAAAGCCACACGTAAGCATGACAGACGGGAAGATTTATTCCGAAATATGAACAAAGTTTGGTGTATCATGATGGAAGTTGAGATCAGTTCTGGCACCATTTTGTAATGCTACAAATACGTTAAACTTTTACCAAACAATGGGCATTGGAATTTTGGACTGATGAGCAGCATATAAGTAGCATAGGCTACATCTATTTTTTATGAAAATATGTTAATTTAATTAAAATATTTGAAATAGGTTTCCATAACTTTATGGCTTTTTATACATACAAAATATTCACTTTTATCCGATCATTTTGGCTATTCAGCTTTTTAATTTTAGTATCTAGACCTGTGTTCAAGATTTGTTGTTTCAAGAAAATGTTGTGCTAGTAGGCTCAAAAGTAGCCAAAGATGCTCCAAAAAGCTGCCAAAATACAGTACATTTAAATAACTAAAAAATAAAATACATATTTCACATGTTTGAACTTTTTCAGCACTCCTCTTGGATTAAATCACGGAAACCTCTTCGTCCATGAGCACGGTAAAATCATGAAAATTTCTTGCGGTCATGTAGATGTCATCGTCGTCTCCCAGGATTGGGGGGAACGTCATCGTCGTCATCCGGGATCGTGATAGAAGCAAAATAATCTTACGCGGCCGTGTAAACATCATCATTGACTCCCACAGTCACGGAAACGTCATTGTGTGGACGTCATCATTGTCTTCCGTGGTCACGGAAACGTCACTATCGTCATCCACGATTGCGGCAAAATCATAAATATCTCTTGCGGTCATGTAGACGTCATCGTCGTCTCCCAGGATCGCGGGAAAGTCATCTGGGATCGTGATAGCAGCAAAATAATCTTCCGCGGCCGTGTAAACATCATCATTGACTCCCACAGTCACAGAAACGTCATTGTGTGGACGTCATCATTGTCTTCCGTGGTCACGGAAACGTCTTTATCGTCATCCACGATTGCGGGAAAATCATAAATATCTCTTGCGGTATGTAGACGTCATCGTCGTCTCCCACGATCGCGGTATCGTCATTATCGTCATCCACGATTGCGGCAAAATCATCTTGTGTGGCTACGGATACGTCATCATAAATGACAAGTACGACATATGCCATACGTTTTTGTGCAATATGATGTGAAACTTATTAACCCTCCCTTGATTGTTTGAAGTTTTTTTTTTTTGTCGACTAAATAATACAATGAACTAATTTATTTATTTTTACGGCAAAGTGTTGAACTATCATTGTAATAGTTAAACACAATCATGGATGTATCGATTACACTCACAAATCAATCACTAACAGTTCTAAGAATAGAAAAAGGCTGTACTTACAGTCTTTTCTCTGAATTTGAACTAGCTACGAGGTCGTATATTTGGGCCCCACTCTGTGCTGTGTTGACGAGAAAAAGCGCCTTCTTGTCTGAAATTAAAAACAACACTTAACTTAAATCCTCAATTTGTTAAAACTCCAACTGCCTGTTATCTGCTCATCTACTGACTATCCATTTGAGTAGTGAAGTACCTTTACAGCATGGTCACATTGTCAAGTTAGAGGTGATTGCAGGCTTTAAGTAGCAATGTGTGGCTTACCAGCCAAAGAAACTACCACTGAGCTACTTGCGTTAAGGTAAAGTCAACAGTTATTTGCTGAAAGTACAAACTAAACAATTACTTGGATGGAAACTGGTAATTTTCCAGTAAAAAAACTTGAGGTTAAAAACAATTCTAAAGACCTAAGAAAGTGAATGTTTAGGTACGCTTTGTTTGTTAACCCATTACGAGTTTAGGACAGACTCACTAGCAATTACATAATGTCTAGAGATGAATATTGTCTACATATGAGTTATAGGTCCTCTTCCCCCATATAGTGTTAGCCTCATCAGACTAACCACAGGATAAATTTCTTTTACAGTACTAAAGGGTCTAGTAAAAAATGTCAGACAGCCTTAATTTCTCTCAGATGTAGTAGATGGTGAAAGGATAACAGTTACATGGCGTTTGTTTTTAAGTTAAGGGTCTATATTGATCAACGAAGAATATAACGATTGCAATTTGCTCCAACTATATTCCCAACAGTGCTTCGGGTTATTTGAAAAGTAAGATACAATAATTATAATACGCCTTGTGCCTGACTCTTTCCCATTCAGGTAAGCCTGCTTCCTAGCAGAAGCAGGTATCTTACTTAGTATTTTACTTTTTTACTGTTAAATGCAAGAATTTAACTAGCTTGTGTATACAATTTTTATTCTAGTTCAGTGACAATTGACCTGTATTTCTAGCGTCTTCAATTGATTGCAAGTATGTACTAACGACAACTCACCGACAGCGTTCGGCCTGACGATGACCGTGGACACCCTGATGACAGGACTCAGTGTGGAGCTGTAGTACTTGAGGACGTACTTGTCATCTTGTTTCTGTAGCAGGATGATAATGTCCTCTAGTAGCAGCACATGCAAGTCTATAGGTTTGGGACGGTTGGCTATCCTCCAGTTGAGGGGGCCTTCGTGTATTAGCCTATGTCTCGTCAGGTCTAGATTCTGCAAACATCAGTAGAGTGTTACTCATCATGTTGTACAATAACACTTATCCTTCAGTCATCTCTACCAGAAATAAGCAGTACACCGGTGGGGCACAAGGAAGATTTCTCAGGTGCCGTTTGTCGTCACTAACTGCTGCGTCTGAAGAAACAGACAATTTTATCATTTTTCTATTATTAAATTAAACTGTCATAACCTAACCAAACTAACCAAACGTGCTGATAATGGAAAAATGGAATGAAGGTTTACTAATCTAAAAAATAGTTTTGTTCATAAAATAACATTATAAATGCCTAAAATTCAATTTTATAATTTTTTAATTATTCGAACCCGGTATATTTGGATTATCAGCCCGACACGCTATACACTACACCACCGAGGCCGATGGCTCACAACCGCATCGTTGCGCTAATGGTGTTCCCTCAAAGTGACGTCAGCAGTTAGTGACGTCAAACGGCACCTGAGAAATCTTCCTTGTGCCGTTTTGGTACACACCCTGGTGTTTTGACGTTGTACAAATCCAATCTCAATCTATCTAAAAGCAAAAGGTATAGGAAATAAAAGGTTAAATGCTAAGAAAAACATTTTTCTTATTATGATTCCCTTAAAGGTAATTTGATCACTTATGCAGTTTGACTGTTGATAATATCTAGGGGAAATAGGAGATCGTTGGCTGGTAAATTTGTTTTCACCATAGTGTGTTAGATATCCAACATAGATTAGGGATCATGCAAAGCTACATCATTGAACTGCACAGCCACAAAAGAAGGTTTATTTCTGCCCTCTGTATAGGGCTTGGGGCTGTGCATGGAACATATCCAGCACAACAAGGGGTGGACCAATTCAGAACATGAGTAAAAAGTACTGATAAAATTAGTAGCAGTATAATGCGAACCCAAGACATTGCTAACATTGATTAATTGATAGTCCGTTGCTCTACCAACTCACCAAAGGAACAAGTTTGTAGGGATAACAAAGAAAGGGGGTTTCCGCTGTTGGACTGAGGTATACGATAGAACTCTCTAAATATCCGAACTCCAACAATATAAATCACAGATTATCCAAATCGCTACAGAAAGAATTTTAAAAACTTAAAACCGTAGAGTTTAACTTAAGTGTTAGGACTAAAAATTAAGAGAGAAACCGTGCCTCTGCAAAATCCAAAACCTCTCCTGTTTTTGTCACCGTCTCCCGCGGTCACAGAAAATCATAATCGCCTTCCGCAATAGTGGCAAAAGTGTGAATTTTCCGATACCGAAAACTTGCAGACACAATCTGCAATCAATCATTGTAGTAAAAGCTCAGCTTGAATCAGCTTATTTTCTGCATTACCCCGAGTTTCAATAAAAATCAAACTATCGAAATATTTTATCATCCGCATGTGGTATGATCATAATTGATTCGGATAATTGGACCAATTCATAAACACTCTCATAAAAAAAACAAAAAAAAACATGTATATGGGGATTTGTTCATATAATAAGATCCCCTTGAAAATAAAATCCTATACACCACACAAATTTTAAATTTGTACTAACGCATTATTGATGAGAAATCATATTACTCCCCGGCAGATTTCCTATATGACCATGACATTAATTGACCATGAGTTTATGTTAAATATGACTCAGATTGTATTGTTTTTAATTGTTTTGTCTCTGACATTGCTTCAAGATCTTCATTTACACTTTTTTGCTAACTATTTTGAAATGGTAACTTTCTCTCAATTGTACTCTTCTTATTGTATTTTGTTGTGACTTTTTTGTTTCAGTTTTTATTACTTATTAATCAACCATGCATCTGTTCACCATTGCCTTTGTAATTCAAAATTAATTTTTAGTTTTTGGAGAAAATAGGGGGCAATACATTAGGGGGCAAATGGAAAGACACCTATCTTCCCCCAACAAATCTTTGAAGGCAGTTAACAGCACATAAAAAAAACACACAAAAAAGACCCAATGAAATTGACATTTTGCCCCTGGGATGGAAGAAGTAGAAAATCAGCAGGACCATTCCTACTTCTTTCTTCTGCAGAAACCACTTCTGGGCAAATTATCAAATTGTGTTTTTAACTTTTTTGGTCCTATCAGCCTGAACTCTTTAGACTTACGGTTAGTTGTGTACACATTCCTTCTCCTTTAGTGTATTTTAATTATTTGTGACTACACTCAAGATTCACAGATTTACAAAAGAAAGTAATACTGACTCTGAACTCGTGTGCCATGGCGTGGTCGACCTTGTCAAAGGAGGCTCTGTCCAGTCTTCGTTGTATCTCCGCTAATCTGTACTGGTCCTCTGCCTCCTTCACTGCAGTGTTGACGTAGTTGAGGATCTCTCGACTCCTCTCCTCTGCCCTCGTCACTCTCACTGCCTCCTCCGTCCCAGCCGTTGTATACTTCTCTAGGTTCTTCAGTAGCAGCGGGTATTTGGTTAACCTGCAAGAAAACAGAGGTTAAGTATTCATCCGAAAATACATGTTTAACAATTTACTAATCCCGTGCTTCACAATGCAAAGAGGACGCAAAAGAGAAGAATGTGGTCCTTAAAAAAATATAAATAATTTTACTATTAACCGCAGTAAAATAAAACTCTTTTCATTAAATTCACTAGAGGATTTTAAGACATTAACTAGAATTTGTATGAGAGAGGATAGAAAAATATGTTTATAAGCAAATTACTCTAAACCCAAGTATGTGCACTTTGCGTGATGATAGAAACGAGCCCATACAAATTGAGGGGCATACATTTGATAATACAAACAGTTTTAAATAACTAGGAATAATAATATCAAATCAAAATACTCATGTAGGCTACTAGAGATACAAAGTAAAATAATTTCAGCAAACAAAATGTTGCCATGAATGTAATAAATTGCTTTTATCCCTGCAAATCCATGTACTACAAAACAATAATATGCCCAGTCCTCCTACATGGATCAGAAATTTGGAAATTAATTATAAAACATGAAAAGGTACTCATAGTTTTTTACTGCAAAAAATCAATGGACCTATATGTGAACAAGGAGATTGGAGAAGAAGGCCCAAGATGGGAACTTTATAACAGCACAGATGTAATTGGAGAAATTAAGTGAAGTGTAAATAACATCCCCGCAGTGTGGCGGGGCCGCCGAGGTCCAGTGGACGCTGAGATCTATTCCTAAACGGCCGCGAGAGGCGATGATAATGTCTAAACGGGCCGCGAAAGATGTTCATGATTTTGTCGCGATCGCAAAAACGACGATGAAGTTTCTGTGAATGCAAGAGTGGATGATGTTTCCACGGCTGCGGGAGATGATCGGATTTTTCCCGCGATCGCGGGAGGCAATGATAATGTCCAAACGGCCACAGGAGATGTTCATGATTTTGCCACAATTGCGCAAGACGACGACAACGTTTCCGTGACCACGGGAGGCGATGATAATGTCTAAACGGCCCGGGAGATGTTCATGATTTTGATCGTGCAAAACGACGATGGCATTTCCGTCAATGCAGGAAGGGATGATGATGCCTAATCGGCCATGGGAGATAACAATGAATACAGAACCTTATGAGAAGCAAAACCTCCATATTAAAATAGGCGACGCTACAAAGATTTTTACCAGCGGCAGTTCATGAAGATTTATGTGGGAAGCGCTAGCGTCGCCAGCCAAGTCTTTGTGACCTACCGCTAGCAGCAATCTTCGTAGCGTCGCCTCTTTTAATATGGCGGTTTCACTTCTTTTAAGGTTTATTCATTGGAGATAATCAGAATTTTGCCGCGATCGCAGAAGACCTTACCCATCAAAAGACGCCGGATTACTGGAAAGAGACTACCGTAGATTGTTCAAGCTGCAGGAAGACCGTGTGTGCTACAACTACTGTACAAAAATGTGTCCATCGCTGTTCAGGCTCTTCCTTGCTCGTTACAAGTTCATTTCTGTCCCAACGAACCAGAGCTAAAAGCGCACAGTTGTCCCATAAGCTTGTATCCTCTATATCTTACTTCTTTGTAGAGAAAGTAATTTATTAAAATTAACCACCTTTAAGTTAGACTTTTATGAAACTTAACCGAATTGCTGTCTATTGGGTAGGATGATGAAACAGAAGTCTTTCTTCAATAATTTGGACAACAAAATCGGGTTCATGCATTATTTTAGCTTTTTATATTGTTACTTTACAATAAGTATATTTTAGCCCTCATTAATGAGTTTTGGGTGACAGAAAAGTGCTTACCTAAACATTCCTGAAGGTATGATATCCTTCAGTTGTAACCTTCGACACACAGGATTGCCCTCTGCATCACTCAGGAAACTGTTGAGCTTAGCGTCTTTCCGCCGTTTCTCCTTTAGAGCTTCAAGAGCAATTTGTTGTTTTCTACAAAACACAGCCGCTGCTTCTTGGAAGTGCTCACCGTCTGTGCCTTCAAACTGAACAGAAAATAAAAATTGTAACAGGGATACAAGAATATACATCACAAGCAGATTCATTGAAGCTGTATAGGATATAAATACACAAGATATAAATAGCGTGCTAAAAAACTGGACAAAATAAAAAGGACTTCCACATTTTGCGATTTTTGTTCATTAAACACTGCTTGATTAGTTCCAAGATTTACTTTCAGTAAAACATTAATATAAAGATTTGCTAGACAACAATAGCACTTATAAAATTCCATTGGGTTCATTATTCGAACACAATACACATATCAAAAAATTAAAAAAATTTAATATGGATAGCATTCTGAAGCGGCAAAAAGAGGCTATCACAATTATGCTTAAGCTTAAAAGAGATGATTCGGCAAAAGAACATTTTAAGAAATTACAAATTTTTACAGTTTATGGGCAATATATTTATGAAACAATTCTTATTGCAAAAAAATGAATCTGAGCAGGTAATAAATTCAGTACATTCTTATTATTTCAGGAGGAGAAGAGAGTTTGTCCAGCCTCACAAATTAAAATTTTTGAAAAAAAACCCTCATACGCTGGTAACGAGTTTCTAAAATTTGTCCCTGAATTGATAAAAAAAGAAACAAACCTATCTAAATTCAAGAAAATTCTAAAAGATTATTTAATAAATTTAGCATTATATTCTTTTGAGGAGTTTTCCACCTCCCATATACAGTAGAACTCCGATTATCCGAATCAATAGGGACCAGACCCCATTCGGATAATCAAAAATTCGGACAATCGGAGTTTTACCGGAATTCCGGGAATTTTAAAGAAAAATCCTCATTTTTGGTACTAAGTGAACTTTTAATTAATGATAATTTAAATTTGAACATTTTTACAGTTTACAATGCTCGTAGTACAAGTGTTCTATACATGTTATTAAGTCAATAGTGTTCCATCAAAGTCCAAAATTGGCTAAATGTGTTTAATAACAATTCTTTGATATTTTGCAAAACTTATTACTGTAGCCTAGCTTTACGTTTTTAAAATTGTTGAAATAAGCGATTCGGATAATTGGAGATTCGGTTAATTGGAGTTCGGATAATTGGAGTTCTACTGTATAGATATAGTATTTTTATTTTAAGTATCCTGACACTATTCACTGTACCACCTATGTACATGACTTATGATGAATAAAGATGTTTGAATATGAATATGAATATACCTTTGGTGAAAATTAAACAATAGTGGCATGTCTAAATTAATTCTCTTGGAAGTCTTCCCATCAAGATTCTTATGTACCATACAAATAATTTACATTCACATCCCATGGCACTAAGAGCACAGTAGATATGTTATTAAGTTTAATGGAGTAAGAAACTTACCATACTATACAGAAGATCGCCAATCTCGCCGATGACGGGACCTTCTTTACGTTTGGCCTTCATGCTGTTGTTGAACCTGGAGTGGATTTCCAGCATCTCCTCTAGGTTGCTGAACAACAGCTGAATCTGTTCCTGGGGCAGGACCTGCTGCTCCTTCATAGGCCTGTAGAATACTCTGTCTAGCACCTTGAGTCCCCTCACATGAGATCTCTCAGTCATGAACAGTTCTGTAAAAGAACGTACATATTACTGAACAACAGCTGAATCTGTTCCTGGGGCAGGACCTGCTGCTCCTTCATAGGCCTGTAGAATACTCTGTCTAGCACCTTGAGTCCCCTCACATGAGATCTCTCAGTCATGAACAGTTCTGTAAAAGAACGTACATATTACTGAACAACAGCTGAATCTGTTCCTGGGGCAGGACCTGCTGCTCCTTCATAGGCCTGTAGAATACTCTGTCTAGCACCTTGAGTCCTCTCACATGAGATCTCTCAGTCATGAACAGTTCTGTAAAAGAACGTACACATTACTGGATCATCTTCCAAAGATCCAAAATCAGAAGATCCAATAGTTAAATAGCCGATTGGTTCATCCGAAATCGGAAGATCCAACGTTTATATTGCAGATCGGATGATCCAAAGATCGGTAGATCCAAAAGTACAGTTATAACCAGAAGTACAATACCGATCGGCAATATAAACTTTGCATCATCCGATTTTGGAACTTGTGAAATGCTCCCATATTACTGAACAACAATTCAATCTGTTCCTGGAGCAGGACACATAAGACCGGCTCTGCTAAAAACAAAAGAACAAAAAAATAAAAATACAACAAATCTAAAAACTGAACTATTATTTAAAAATATGCATTAGAATGCTTGCAAGATTTATTATTCAATATCTGTAAGGGAATATTATGAAACAAAAAGTTACTTGCTCAAGAGATCAAGTAGGACTGGTATTGATCAAGAATCAATGGTACAACTTTTTGTAAAAAGTACAGTAGGTCTTGTAGTTACACGCACATTGTTGACAGACACTTATACGTAAGTGCTGACATTTAACCCTCATTGCAGACAGCCATCCTTAGAACATTTCACTGTTATTGTTGTCAGGATCTACTACTAAAACACAACTAGAAGTGAAGTACTTGCAACCGGTTGCAGATAAATAATACTCTAAAAGATGAGGAAAAAATGTGCCATAAGTAATAAGTTTACATCTTTAATGCGGTCATTACCAGAAGAACTAGTTTGTAGCGTACTTGACTGTGGAATCCTTACTTGTGTTGAGAAGATAAGATTTGTTAACCGAACAGTAGTCCCTTACCATTGATAACTTCCTGGCGCTTGATCTCGTGAGGTGTCAGGGTCCTGAGAATGTCCTCTGGGACAGTGTTTTTCCAGTCAGGAGGGTCGACCACGTCCGCCTCTGTATCACTGTCCCATGGTGTCACTTCACCCCCTGGCCCTCTCCCTCCACTCACAGCTTCCAGCGAGTTGCTCGGGCTGTCCAAGCTTCTGTCAAACAGTCTCAACGTTAGCTATAGGGAGAGGTAGCATTGACTTTTTGGACATTGAAGTAGATTTTCCATCCATATAGACCTGTTTTGTAGCCAAATTTATAGACAAACGGAACTTAGTTGAATGAACTTCTCACAGAGTAACTTACAGTTTAAATCGTTTTTTGCCATAGTTTGTGATAGAGAAATTGTTTATGCAACAAAAAAGATGCCACAACTTACAAACAGTAGGTAGTCTTATATTTGAATTGAGTGAAAAATTTATGTATTATGACAGAGGTTCAATCGAGCCACAATCGGACATGCTGTGGTTAATTACTTAATTGTATTACAATGTGTTTATTTATTTATTTTTTGCAACCCAAGTATTACAAGTATTGTGCTTATATGTTGGTCTCCCTGTTTTCTTTACTACATACATAGTTATCAACGATGTTTGTTTGGTGTCATTGGGAATTTATTGTAAATAAGACTCAACCATAATGTTTTCACAATCACAGAGAACGTATTGTATCTGTATGTCTATGTGTTTTTGTCTAATACGGATCCAGTTTCCAATTTGTACATATCAATAATTGTTAATTTATTAGGTACTAGAATCACACCTGGAAACATAAATTCCAAACCTTGTACAAAACCAATTCTCCAAACTTTTGACCTTGAGAAATAGATGGGATATCTTCAGTATCCAATAATCAATGATAACATCTACTGCCACCATCTTTTCTTTAACTATATCTGTTTTTTAAACATACAGGGTGAATAAAAAGTCAAGACCCCCCCCCTCTAATATTTTTCCAAGTAAATATAAAGAGATATCCTTTTGGTGGTCGAGCAATCTTAGCAGGAAGTTTCATTTTATCATTTTGAAATTTTTGAGTGTCGTCCCAAAAGGGGGGATTTGGGGGGCAACTCAAATATTTTAAATGTAAACCCCCTTCAAGTGACACCTCATTTTGAAGTGTTTGCAAAAACTTAAAGAATGGTGAAAACTAGAGGTCGCTATCTATTCTCTATCCAAAATGGTAGCCCGTCAAATGTTGTGGAAAATCAACGGTAAAATTTTTAATATTGGCTGCCATTTTGGATAGAGAAGAGATAGCGAGCTCTGGTTTTCACCATTCTTTAAGTTTTTGTAAACACTTCAAAATGAGGTGTCACTTGAAGGGGGTTTACATTTAAAATTTTTGAGTGTCCCCCAAAAGGGGGGATTCGGGGGACAACTAAAAATGTTTCAATAGAAACCCCTATCAAGTGACACCTCATTTTGAAGTGTTTAAACAAACTTAAAGAATGGTGAAAACCAGAGCTCGCTATCTCTTCTCTATCCAAAATGACAGCCAATATTAACAATTTTACCATTGATTTTCCACAACATTTGACGGGCTACCATTTTGGATAGAGAAGGCATAGCGACCTCTAGTTTTCACCATTCTTTAAATTTTTGTAAACACTTCAAAATGAGGTGTCACTTGAAGGGGATTTACTTTTAAAATATTTGAGTTGCCTCCCAAATCCCCCCTTTTGGGGGGACACTCAAAAATTTCAAAATGATAAAATGAAACTACCTGCTAAGATTGCTCGACCACCAAAAGGATATCTCTGTTAATTTACTTGGAAAAATTTTAGAGGGGGGGTCTTGACATTTTATTCACCCTGTATAATATTTAAGTACGAACTATATAAAAATAAATAAAATAGCTTTAAATAAAATAGTTGAAGCTGTATACAGAATCACCAGCTTTACAGTCCTTAAAACAGTATAAATGACTGTCTATAAAGCAACCAATAAAGCATATAATGTGTCAGGATGCTGTGAAAAGCCTTCCTTTACCCTGGGGAAAAACACTCCCGCCTCATCAAAGTTTCATTCTCTACAGCCCCCGCCCAACAACCAGGCTCACTCAGCTACTAACTGACATTACTTATTCAACAATTATTTATAGTCTCTGTCCCAATAGATCTTGGTTAGCGGTAATGGCATTTACAATCATTTCCAATCAGCCACTAAGGTATATGATGTAAAACAAGATAATTATAACAAACTAAAAAATCTGATTTAAATTTTGTTTTAATGCATTTTTATAAAACAAATTATTATGCTATACTACACCACACAAAATTAAAATGTGTTGATAATAATTTTAACAGAGTGTGATTTTATTTTTTTATGACAGAAAAATCAATAGGTATTTGCATTGTATTAATGTTTTAAGGAATTCAGATTTTATGGAAGAACTATTATTGAAGCCTTGATGGTAAGATCAAGATCTGAGATCACTGTATTTTTCCCATTTACGGTACCCAGTGACAGGAACACACTGTTCCTTAAAATTGATACACAGAGTTTCTACAATTTACACCAATTGTGTATAATGTATTGCCATATTTTTCAATGAGTTTGTAAACTGAAGTAATAACTGGCTGACAGAAGGAAGAGGTGTTGTAGCTAAACATCGGTTTTAATGTTTTTCCAATTGTAAAGCCTATTTATTTAAAAACTGTTTAAAGAATATTTCTTGCAAAAAAGTTGCTTACAAATTTAATATTTTTTTAAAATCATGTTAATACTAACTGTTATATTGTTAAATTTCATACTAACCTCGTAGAAAGACTGGAGTTTGATGAGCTACCAGAGTGATAGGACAACGCCTGATTCTCCACGTCAACATCACTGAAACAAAACACAAGTCATGTAGAGAATCGGAATTTGCAGAGTTCAAAAATGCTAACAGAAAAAAATAGCTGATTTAATACAGTATACAGTAAATTATATATGAAATGTAGATGCAACCAACTCCTATTTTGAGATCCATTGCTGATGGATTATGGGTAGGAGATAGTACTAAACAGGGTATGCATTGGTGCATAAACAGTTATCTTTCGCAATGATATTAAACATTCAACACCCGGTTTCCTGAACGGATTTAATAAAATTTTAATCTATAGAACTTGTTTCTCAACAACTTTTCATCTTTGATTAAGTCATTTTGACAAGTATTAAAGTTATTTTCAATACAAAAATCATTTAATTAAAATTGGATTGTCCCAAGTAGCTTTGGCCTATTAAGTTAAAATCATTTAGAAAAGATTCAATTGGTAAATTATTTATTCAAGCCACTGATTGAAAAGAAGAATAATGAAAATAGTAGCCTTCAAAATGATAATAACTTTTCCTATCTTAAAAATTTTGAACATGATTTACGTGGGTGTGCGCATTAAGTGGCACTTTTGTATTTATAGCAGCAGGACAGTGTAAAAAATTACTTTGAACATTCTTCTGGCGAAGTTATCTGCCATAAAGTATTCTGTGCAGGCATGAATAGTAGTTACCGTATAACATTTTTCTGACCAAAAAATATTAATTTGTATTACGATTCCCAATTATAAGGCTGACACAATTTTGTTTTTAAATTGATGATATAACAAATCCTATATTTTATAGTATTTTCTAACTATTCATAAAAAAAACTCAAAAATGTACATTGAAAATCCAAAATAACAGTAGCCAACTTAGATTAAGCTACCCCTAACCCTAAATTCATTTATTTTATAAAATTTAAACAAATTAATAAGTAATGTAAATTATCATAATTTAACAAATTTAAGGAAATACAAGAATAATAATTAATGACATAAAAATGCAATTAACTATCATAGATCTGAGCAATGGAATTATGGTTAATTGATAAGAAGTAAGGGGGGAATGGCGCAATATAACACCCTCACATCACCGACCGTGTGGCCTAACGGATAAGGCGTCGGACTTCGGATCCGAAGATTGCAGGTTCGAATCCTGTCACGGTCGACCAAAACTTTTTGTCACTTTATTTTATCATATTTTGATCTTGTTACAAATCTACATTGATATTTTCATTAACTGATATCACAACTCTAATAACTGCTCATTTTTATAATTTGTTCTAAAGACTACGTTACACAGCACAAATTACAGCAAACCTTTTTTTTTGTATAAAAAATTTGAAAATTTACATACATTATTTTGCGTAATGTGCTGTCATTCACTGTTTAATATCATACACTAAAATAATATAAATATGGACATAACATAAAACATTTAGAAAATGTCAAACCCAATACGCTTAATGTAAAAGCAAAATTTGGCTGTGTTAAATGTTTTTTTTATTTCTTTTAATTTTGTTGTAAATTAAATAATTAATATACCTATTTAATGATGAACTAACTTGCAAATGTTGAAAACAGAAACTCGAATCTTGTATACGCAAATTTTGTTCAAGCATTTTAACAGTGACGATTCCTGTAATTTGTTGAGTACCAGTTGAGGACCTTCAAAGATAAGTTTATTAATTGTAAATGCCATTGCCGTTAAAAATAAAAATAAGTAAAAATGAAATAAAATTCCAATACAGCGCTTAGAATGTCTACTCTTAATGATAAATACTAAGCAAATCTATATATTTAATAACTGTACTACACAATAGGAGTAGATATTGGAACATGTTGAAAGACATATTTTTTATGTTTGGGTATAAAAATATTTATTCAAATAAATAAATGTTGGAAAAATAGTAAAAACAACTAAACTAAAATTTCTTTTAAAATTCTGTTACAAAAATCGTCGACACGCTCTGCTTTACGTACGAGTTTAGTGTATTTCAACCCAATTTTATAAGCAATACCACACCGGCGACATGACGGCATAATCAAAAGTAATTCCAAAACCCGCCATGACGGTGTACGTCACTACGTTTCTCCCGCAGTTAAAATAACTCTGCTTTAAATTTAGTATCAGACTCGCCGGGATCGCCCGTCATGTGTCTTAGCATATTAACCCTGGACTTACACGCATTCCGAGCGTGCGAGTTTCCCGAAAACACTGAGGAATTTTGTATTTCCCCTCTTTTTAGTTCCGATGCCGTTTCAGGTAGGTATTCATGACACACAATGTATGGGGTGAGATTTTTAAAGGGGTTTTTAGTGCCGGAGCACGTGGAAAGAGCCCAAAATTTTAATCCTAAAAAAGTTTCACTAATCTTAAGCATGGAAAGAGCCCGGGTCTCCACAGGTACCTGAGGAGGAGGACGCTGACTCGTGTTCTGAAATAAAGTTGTGTTTGGTTGGGTTAGGTTAGGTTAGGTAAACAGACTATATCTTTTAGTAATGTAAATATCTTTTATTAATATATTTTAAATAATGTATCTTTTAACATTGTATCTTTTAATATTGTAAATAAATTCATGTATTTAAACTGTGTTATTGGTTCTTTATCCTTTGAAGACTCGTTGTGAAAGTTCTAGGAAGAGCCCGGGCTCTTTTCGCACCGTCCTGGGAGGGACCTTGGTCCGGGCGCTTTTCAAGCGTCTGCCTGAGTTTTTGGGCTCTTTTCATGTGCGCCCTTTAGTGCATATCTCTGTAGTCTACTCGATATTTTTTTTGCTAAACGATTTCAAGAAAAATTGTCTGGGTGATCAAAGGGTTGTAATCCTCGCCCTCGTGTCTGACGTTCGCTGGTTCACTTCTGAGCGGAATCGAATATGAACCCATTTTGTCACTTATGATTAGGCTATCAATGAATAGTGTATTATAATGTAAGTGTTGGATAGTAAGAAGATCAGGGCCTAGACTGTTCCCTTAAAAATAACGAAAAATGACAGTTGAGATGAAAAAGGAATACAAAATGAATAAACAAATAATGCAATTACGTTTGTCTGAATGTCGACAATATAAGCAAAGAACTACACAATCTGCTAAACATTAAGAGCATTTTTCATAAGCTCGCAGTGAAGTTATTAGGTACACTTAATTAAAGCTTTTCCCACTCGGATATACAATTTTACGATGTTTTAAAGAAACCTCGAAGTGTTACACATAGACGTTACAATTTTTCTTTAGTTTTTGGGTAAAACCTCTCTGATTTCGTACCGTATTTCTTTTTTAATAAAATGCACAGAGAAGATTTCCGTTTATTAACATGTAGCTTGACTAAATAATTTCAGCATTTCAATTATTACATGAGAATGCGTACCTAAGTCGCCATTTCAGAATAAAGTATTTAGTACGGTATATAGAAGAAATAACAAATGTGGTAGTGGTAGACCAAGAGACGACGGAAATACCAGAACATTGGCAAACACTTTGTGACGCTTCCTTATCAGGCTAAATGATCGGAAGAACAGTGGAAGATTTAAAAAAGTATAACCTCACAGAGACCACAATGTTAATTTACTAACATTATGTTTGTTTTGTTTTAAAGATTATAGTAATAATTAAAGCTGATACAAAATTAAACTGTATTCAGCGAAAGCCCCAAAGAGTCCCATAATTCACAGTTTCGTCCCTTTATCTGTGAAGACTAACTTGTTGAGAACTGAGAACTTTCACTTCCTAGTACACGATACAAAGGCCAACAAGAACCAGGTATTCTATGGTAGATATAATGCAATCAATGACAGAACGGCAGAATTTCATATATACCTGCTGAACTGGTACAAATTTGCCAAATTCACTAAATAATCACTGTGCCAAAGTTTGCTGTACTAAACAATTCACAATTCTTCTACAGCGTTCTAGTGAGAAAATTGAAGGAGGATGCGAAAAGGTTGGGGAGGAAGGAAGGATGAGGAAAAAAGGATGGGGATAATGGAATGAGGATGATGAGATGGACGGGTGAAAGAGGACGAGAAAAATATGAGGAAGAAGAAGGGAGAATAAGAGCCGACGGGGAGAATGGATGATGTGAGAGGTGCTGAGGGGTGCGAGAGGAGGATGGAAGCAATGTTGTTGCTATCGATGCAATGTCAAATAATTGGCATCTGTCGTCGCCAGCTTGTATTGTAAACAAACACAGAATCACCAACACTGACGTTATACGTCGCTGCTCTAGACCAAACCCGCTTTGTTCTGGCGACATCCTACCAAACCCACTCGTTGGTTTGAGGTCATTGATAACTCCGCGTCCCGGGAATCAGGAGACGTCTCATCAGACCGCCATATCACACATGGACACTGCCCACCAAACTACTGATATCAAGTCTGCTGTGAAAGCATTGGTCAGTTTTTACGGGATATCTATCTAACTGTCAAATTCGTAAAGATCTTAAAGACTTAGTCCTAACATTCTAGTCTTAGTCTAAGTCCAATACATGTATGTCAAACACATTTAAAAAATCCAAACCAACGATAAAAAAACATTGCCTGAGGTATAAAAAATTAAGTTGTCAATAAGTTAGAGAATACTCATTTAATTAAAAAAAACCTGGTTATGCATTTTGCTATAAAAAACAAAAAAAGGTAAATAACTCGTCATTTCCACAAACGTAATTCATATTTAAGGTTATTGATCAAATTCTATATCCTGCTTATAGGTAGCCAGTCAGACCTTTTTTGGGGAGGGGGAGAGGGGACTTGCTGCTTCAACTAACTTTATAGATATCAGTATATTTATTAGTTTACGTGTTTTAAACGATATTTTTTTAACTTCTGATGATGAATTATCTACATTCTTCCCAACTATTTAATTAAAATATCCGATAACAAACGGACAAATCGACAGTCTATTATAGCTACGATTTCATCGATTATCCCCTACCCAAGCAAGACCTCCTTTCTTTGGCAACCCATGGACTGCTCAGTATGAGTTCAGCAAACTCTACAGTCTTTTCGTGATAATTAATTCACACAAATAATGGTGAG